ATATATATATATATATATATATTATAGTGTCTTTTACATGCTCCTTCACATGCATAATTTTGTGTCAGACTTATCCGTTGTAAATAGACTTATAACTAATTTTATGCCTTTTAATTTATTGATCCTTAATATTTGCTTTCATCGTAGACTAATTATATACAATATACTTTTGTTAAATTAGAGGTGGCAAAGCTAAACTCCAGTGAATGGTACTTCTTCAGTTTTCGAGATCGCAAATATGCTACTGGTTTTCGAACAAATAGGGCAACAATTTCTGGCTATTGGAAAGCTACAGGCAAAGATCGAACTGTGCTTGATCCTCGAACAGGTCGGTGACGAAATCAGGAATATATATAAAAATAAATTTTAACCTATATATATAATATAATTTTTCGATAAAGAATATTCAACTGACCACTTGTACGTACTGTATATGTATGACTTCGTTATTGGAACAGGTGGTCTCATAGGCATGAGAAAAACTTTGGTGTTTTACAGGAATAGAGCTCCAAATGGGATTAAAACTGGCTGGATTATGCATGAATTTCGTCTGGAGAATCCTCATATACCTCCTAAGGTAATATAATATTTTTTTTAATTATATTTCCATGCAAGATTTTAATTTTAAGTTCAAGTAATAGAGAATACTTTCAACTAGCCTAGAATAGAGTAAAAGTCAAGTATTTTACATTTTAAATACATATTTTTATTAGGCCCACGGGCCGGCCCATCCCAATCTCAGTCAAACCTCACGGGCCATGGGCTTTTTCGGACTGGGCTTAAAAGTCTCGTTCATAAATGAACTCCAATAATTCTAGCACAGCTCTGCTAAATTACAAATTGGGCCAAGCCCATATTGACGGCTCTACAATATAGTTTACAATGACAATAATATATTTATTGTAATTTCATAAATAGGGTCTAAGGAAAGGTAAATAATACACAATCTTATTCCTGCTTTGTAGGTAAAGAGATTATTTGTGATAAATCTTTGGCTCAAAGCAAACATAAGTCATCACAATAGAAAAGATATATAATAGTAAAAAAACAAAGAAAACAATAACTAACAATAAGATAATAGTAAAACAAATACATCATTGTTAAATAGTAAAAGAAATCTGATAATATGGAAATACGAGAATAACATTACCACTGCTGGAATGACGACTCCCTACTACTCTTCCACTCTGATTCTCGACTCCCTACACCAACAATGTAGTTTAATAATATAATAATATGAATAAAATATTCCTCATTTATGTAAGTACCTAGAAGTAAGTTTAATAGCGTAAAATTTTGTTACTTGCAACAGCTAGTTTGCTGTATTTTTAGGTTCTTAACGGTCGAATTACTTTTAATTATCCTTTAGATAAATTGATAGTGTAAAAATTTCATTATATTGTTTGTATATAGAAGCTAAACCCAGTTCAATAATATTATTACATTTAAAAAGATCTAACCTTAAGTGTTGTCTATGATCATTGAACAGGAAGATTGGGTATTATGTAGAGTATTTCACAAAGGTACTAAAGATGATCAAAACAACACTAGTAACAATCTTAGCTCAGAGAACATGTACGAGGTTAGTGTCACTTCTCCAGAATTTGTTGTATCTCCTCTCAACAATATGGACAACCATGGATCCACAATGCCTAAGTTATTGCACTATGGCGATGGCGACGGCTACCACACGTTGACCGGTAGTAACTCTGTCCATCAAAACCAGAACTCGAGCAATTTTCAGTTGTCGCAAGAAATAAATAAAGTCTTGGCTAATGAAATGGTTCACTCAAAATGTGGCAAGGAAGATGAGTTTGGGTTCTTGTATGACATGAATTTTGAAGAATATTCAAGTTTACAAGATGGAGGTGTTCATAATTCATGCATTGGGGATATAAGATTTGAGGATGAAAATAGCTTGGTTTTTATTTAAAATTATTACTCATCATTATTTGTTGGATTGATGTGTGTAGGGAAAAACTTAAATATTAAATCTTAATTATTTGTAGAAATTAAAAAGTACGAACTTTAGAGTTTGCTTTTGTGTATAAGATATGGTCCTTTTTTATTTCACAAGCTCGATAGATTTATAAGATGTTAAGGATATTCCATTGTTCATATAATTTGTTTTGTAAACTTTTGACTTTTGGTGTAAATGAGCAATACTCATAATATTCTTTCCTTTATGTTTTCCACAATAAAGAAGAGATGCTTCTTCTGGTTCACTCAACATATTTTTTTCTTTTCAAGAATATTCATGTCACGGCCAAAATCTAACGAATCATGATGACATTTAATTCAACCTATTATATAAGCCAATTAACAACTATCCATTTTTAACAAAATTTAATAAGACAATTAATTTAAAAAAGAAGTCTGAATATTATACATTCCCCAAGAACTGTAATACAAATCATGAACTTATAAGATTAGAGTTTACAAAGTTAGTATGAAATAGATACGTCATCTATTTGAAATGTACATAAACAGATTTTTATGAATTTAAAGCTACCATGAACAAGAGGCAGCTACGACCGGAAAACAGGTACATCTTCAAATCCAGCTCTCGTTGATCTTAGTAGCGTTAATAGCCAACATCTGAACGCAAGGTGCAGAAGTGCAATATGAGTACAACCAATCCCATGTACTCAATAAGTAACCTTAGGTTTAAAGTAATGGCGAGCTAGAACAAAGGTCGGGTCCAACACCAATAGCCAACAACAATTCATCACAACGTAAAGTAAGTAATAAAGGAAGTAATTCAAAGATGAAATGCTCGGCTTATTTATAGTTTCCAGAAAAAATAGTTCTGCCTTTCAATATGTGTGAAAAGTCATGAATGATGTGATATCGTACAACATGAGGCATAAATACATCTCTATACCTGTATATCATCTTTGCATGTAAATGCCATGTATCTCAAAGATGAACAAACCTTCGATTTTAAGTATTTTTGCTTAGTTATTCTGTCTCATTTTATGTGTCATAGCTTAGTTTCTTTGCCACTATTCACAATTATTTTTCAAACAAGTAATTGGAAGGTTTAATTGTTGAAGTCAAAAGGTAAGATTATGGGTACAATGACTGTTTATGTATGGCTATATCTGCAAAATTTGTTTCCTGCTTTGACTTTTTATTCTTCTTCTCTTCAGCTTCTTGTATTCTTCCATCAGATTCTGACAACTTGAAATGAGAAGTTGGTTTGGCACTGACTAGTGAAAGTTACAATCATGGAAAGAGCAAAAGAAATCGAAGGAGAAAGAGTGAAAGGGAAAGAAATCAAATCATACATTTTGTTTGTCTTACTCAGTTCGCTAGCTGTATTAGTATAATATCCTTTTATTCATTGATTGATATTATTGCCTAGAGTTTAATCGCTTTCTTCACTTTAGTCTTATTTTTATCTTGTTATTATTTCTAATCATTGTCATTACATTTTTTATCCGCGCTCCAGCCGAAAGTCTATCAGAAACATGTTCTCTGCCTTTCAAGGTAGGAGTAAACTAAAATTGTGTACATTTTATTCTCCTCAAACGTTATTTGTGAGAAATTACCGAGTTTGTTCTTACTAATTGCCAATAATAAATAGGCAAAATATCTTAAATTACTCCTTCACTTGGTTCAAATTATTAGTATTATCCCCGAACTATGCTCAATTTTAATTACCTCCCTCAACTTGGCCTTTTGAGGGTCATTATCCCCCTAGACGCTGATGTGCCAAAAAGCGTGGGTGCACTAACTTGCCACACGGATTTTTCTTGTCTATGTGACATTTTTTTTTAAAATAATTTTTTTACCTTTTTAAGAATATTACCTTTTCAGATAATTTTTTCCGAATAAATTTTTTAATAAAATTTAAATTTTACTATATTATTTAGGCTAAATATTTTTATTTGGTAAAAAATAATAAAGTTTTAGTTAATCTTTTTTTTTTGAATTTGACCTGAAAATAAAGATTTATACAATTGAAATAAATATTCAAGGTATCTAAAAAGTTATAAAAAATTACATAGTTGTGATCTTAAAAGATTAGAGGTAAAATGTTTATGTGGTTATACCATTTGTGTGGCTATAAAAACTTCTTATTAAGGGTAAAAAGGTAAAATGAAGAATTTAAAGTTGAATTGTATTCAGATTTAAAAATATATTATTTATTTTAAAATAAACTAAAAAGAAAGTGTCTCATTTAATATGAAACGGAGGGAGTAATACGTTTTGCTGCATCCAAATTTAAGGCCATTCTTGGTTAAGAAAGAAGTGCGACAGT